CTTTTATTTTTTCAACTAAAGAATTTCAATAAAGTTCAAAAAAATGAAAAATATCTATTGATGTGAAAAAATATGAAATTATTGAATTTATTGCTTTTTCATTTTAGATTAGATTAACTTTTTATAAACTTACTTGAACTTGAAAGAACTGGCCCATCTTCAATAAAATCTGCTCTGCATTCCTATGGTCAGTTTCATTTGTTTTACCTGCCTTTATTAAAACAGTTTTAGAATATTATTAACATTTTTTTAAACTTGCTAGTTTTTTAAAAAAGAAAAAAAAGTCTATTTGATAGTTTTTATATAATTAGGAAGAATAGTCAACATAAGTCATTTTAAAGAATACTAAGGGACAAAAATGAAAAACTCCTTTGTAATGTAATGTAGACTTAATGTTTTTAGTCTAGCTTGGAATATCTTTTAAATATATGTAATATACTGTAAAATTTACAAAAACTGCAATAGTTAATCACTTGTATGTAGTAATATTATTAGTTAATCATCTTATTAAAAGTGATTATAATCCTCATGTTTAAAAAGTTAAGTTTTGGTGCTGTTCTTTTCACAATTCAATGTAATTATTAGTTTAAAACAATTTCATCCCAAATATTATTGATTTGAGTTGTAAAGTAAAACCTTCCAATATGGAACATTTTCTAAGACTAATTTCTTCAAAGTCAAGTAATCTTTAGATGAACATTTTTCAAAATATTTATACTTCCTTTTCAAATCTCCAAAATGTCTGCAGGTCTGAATAAGCATACATAGTTTCAAAACATTAACCTAAGTAATATATGACTGTAATATATGTAATATATAACTAAGTAATATATATAATAAGTAATATATAACTAAGTAATATATATAATAAGTAATATATAACTAAGTAAGTATGTATAATTAAGTATAACTAAGTAAGTATAATATATATAACTAAGTAATATATGACTAAGTAATATATATGAAATCAAATATTTAATAAAGAAGCAGTAAAAAAACTGTATTATTGTTTTTATCAGAAATAAATTTTAATTTAGAATGTTTTCAAACAAATTATTTATACTCTTTAAAATCCTTTATCAAAATCCTTTACAGTGGTATCTCAGAACTTGAACGTCTGAAAGGTTGAAAAACTTCGAATCTGAACATTTTTTTTGAGGAAATTTTGCTCTAAAAGTCAAACTTTTCTTAGAACTTGAACACAAACAAATATGACATATATTGTATCATTTCTGTATGGGTACACTTAATGCAATAGTGTTGCCAGATTTGGTTTATTTTTATTTTGGACTACTTACAGCTTGCTACTTTTTGGATTACAAACAATGAAAATTCATTACTTTTCTAAATCCATTCATGCAAGTTTTAGACACTCATTGAATAAGCCTAGCCATATTCAGTTCATCTCCTGCTTCTGTTCCAAAAGCATCCTCACATAACTTGATTTTTTACTTGCTGTGCTTTTGATGGCTTTTGTTTTATTTACACTCCTGTGCATTCACCATGGTGTCTAAGAAAAGAGTTGAGGCTATGAAACCTCAGAGAAAACTTAAAAGAACAATGATTGAGGTAAAAAAAAACTCTTAAACCAGAAAAGACCACCTTCCTCACCTTTTCCAGCAAATTTTTACCACAACACATATGTTTTTGGCCTTCTTTGGTAATCTGCCTCAAGTTGAATGAAAAAATGAAATGACAAACCTGAGCATTCCAAATGATAACATTCTATAGCTTCAAATGATGTTTTAACTTAAAACATTTTTTTTTGTAACTGACTTTTTTTAAATTGTAATTACTGTACATCACAAATAAATATCATAAAAATTGTATACATAAATTAAATTGTAGTAAATATTAACCATTATAAGGAAATTAATAATACATGCAGTATCATATCAATTTTATTTAATTTCATATAATTCAAAATTTAAAAAAATGAAGTGAAAAAGAATTTATTGCTACTGTATTTCTAATTTCTATTATAAATAATGTAATAAAGTAACTTATGATGGAAATAGAAATTACAAATAACTAATGAAAAATTTATCTGATCTTTTAATTTGTGAATTAAAGTTAGTTAATAAATATAATTTTTACCACATTTATTGTATTAAAATTAAATGAAATTATGTTAAATTATCTCAGAAAACTTTTAAAATAAATATTCAACAAATTAAACTTGTAACATGTTTAAAATAAATTGGCTTCCTCAAATAATCTGTTTAAAGTTATTTAACAATGTTTTTAGTCATTATTTAGGCCATAATCAGCTTACAATTTTACTTTGAATGGACTGGAACAAAATTTATGAGATTTTTAAAAAAGTCCAGTTCATTTGTATTATTAAATACCATGTTTTAGTAAATCATTTAATTAAGGAAAGCTACTTTCAATAATTCATTAATGAATTAGAAATTCAACATTTCTATTCTCTTAAATATTTTTATGTGATATTTTATTTATATTTATATCTGTTTAATTATAACTGTTAATAAAACTTTTATGCATTAATGATTAAATACTATATAAAATCAGATTTGACTTACCAAATATAATGCTAATTTTATAGGCAGAACACATGTATAATAAGCTGTTTTGTACATAGTTATAGCTGAATATTTGTCTTCAGTAAAAAATTCAAATTTGGATGACTGATGAGAATATTCAGACATCATATCCAAGCATTGTCCAAAAGAAGTCAATCTAATCATCTGATAGAAAAATGTACTTCTCACCAATTTAAAATAATTTCATTATAAACATAAAAATTTATTAAACATTCATATAAATTTATATGTATTTTTACTTTATTGTTCATTCAATTAGACTAAGCAAATTTATCATCCAAATTTAGTGTGTATGTTTAACTCAATTCATTCAATACATATTTATGCATATAAATTACTATTTGAATAATATTTTCTTTTATTTTAATACAAAGCCCACTCTGAAAGTTTCTGGATATGTGAAAACCATTAGACACAGAAAAACTGTCTGTGATATTTTACTGCCACTGAGCATAAGTTCAACAGTGTACCTGCATCCTTGAAATTTCCTGTTGGGGGAAATGCCTGACCTTGGAAGTGCCACCAAATCTGGATGTTGAAAATGGAGCTGAAGCAGGAGCATTTCCAATCAATGATGATTTACAACTTTAAATCTGGTTTGTCAGAGTCCCAGTGCCTCCATAGTTTGCAAGCAGTTTGATTCTTGTCCATACAGAATGTAAGTATTCTGGTAGTTTGAATAATTTAGATGTGGATCTGCAACTGCAGTGACTCCAGAAAATGTGGTTCATGTTGAGAAACTGTTTAGAGAATATCTCCAAATAACCCATAAGGATATCAAGCACACCTTGGGTATTAAATCAGCAGCAGTGAATGGTATCTTGCACTATCATCTTTACATGTATGACCATGAAAGCAAGAGACAGTCCACAGTTTGTGTCTTCTCCAACAAAGCACCATCTGTTGGACTTTAGGAAGACAGTTAATGCTGAGTGGTATGTCACCATTTGTCTTCCTAAAGTCTTTCAAGAAATGTCCCTACACAAATACCCTAAAACATGTCTTTGTGTACTCTTGCTGCACCATGACAATGCAATGGCACATACAGTAATGAGAATGGTAGACTACTTGAGCAGTTCTGGGGTGTAGTTGGTCATCCATTTACCTTATAGTCCAGATTTAGCACCCTATGACTTCTGTTTCCCAAATCCAAGGAAGTCCTCAAGGGATGTCATTTTAGGAGTCCAGAAAACACAGTTGCTGTATACAGAGACACCTTAACAGACATCGCAGAAGACTGGTGTCAAGGCTTCCAAAGCTGCTTCTGTTGCATTGATGGTGTGTTGAGCATCAGCATGAGTACTTTGATAAGATATGAGGACAGAACAACAAACAGGGTCATTGAATCTGGAAACTTTCAGAGTGACCCTCATATCATATGAAATTGAACACACAGATACTGGTTAGAACAATTAATAATAAAGAAAAGACTATCTTGTCTGCATGGAGAATGTTATTCAAGATTCCCAACCAGCAAAGGATGTAACACACTAATACCCCATAGTTTTGCATATATGTTATTCATATTTATATATTAAATTAAAACATTCCATGCTTCATATTTATTTTTTAAATTTAAAATGTTCTGTTCCAGCTTTTATCTAATGTTCTAATACTATATTCTTTTAAAATCAAACCTGATGATGTCTATTGTATATAAATGAAAACATTTGTTTAAATAAAGGATTTTTAATTTTGCTAGTGTAGTGCATTTCATAATTTCATAACTCTGCTTATTACATGAAATTTCAACCAATTCAATTTTTTTACTTTGATATAATGCATTTAATTGCATTTAACTACAAATCAAAACAATTTTAATATATGGCTGTTGTGATCATATTAAATTTATTTTTATAGTATTATTAAAATCATTAAATATTTTACAAATTCACTGTTTTGGGATTTTTGGGAATTTTTTCAACTTCAAAATACTTTAAATTCCAGATTGGTTTGATTAACACATATTTAAAGTATATACCCTTCATTAAATGTCTTAAAAATTATTGACTAATTCCTAAAAATACAGTGTGTCCAAGAAAGATCTTTATCATTCTAAACATTAATAACAAAAATACTAACAGGTGAAATGAAATGCAGTTTGCTGCAAAAGAATGAAGAAATCTAAGAGTTTTTTCTGGTATCAATTGCCTGAGGTAGATTGCCAGTTGTGAAAAGGACACATACCTTGGCCTCCATGATTGCCCAACATAACTCCACTGGATTTCTTTTTTTGGGGTTATGTTAAAGACAAGGCTTATCAAACACCTGTTTCTGATATCCGTTTTAAAGGAAAGGATACAATTGGCAATCCTCACTGTTACACTGCAAATGTTAAAAAACACTTGGAGGGAAATTGAGTACAGACTCGACATTGTTCGTACTACTAATGGAGCTCACGTACATCTACATTGAAGGTACTGTAAAAAAACTCTTAGATTTCTTCATTCTTTTGCAGCAAACTGCATTTCATTTCACCTTTAATATTTTTTTTTATTAATGTTTAGAATGATAAAGATCTTTCTCAGGCATGCTGTCTTGTCTCAGGCTTTTTCTTGTCATTTATATATGTTATTCATTACTTAACATGGACATATTATTACAGATAACTGAATAAGAAAATGCTAAAAATATTCTTTTTTGTATTTTCTTCAATTTGGGAATATTACATTACCCTTAAATAAAAAGGAAACCTTTTTTCTCATTAAAAACATATTAAGATAATTACTTAAAACAATCAAATCACATAAGTTAGTTATAAAATTATTTAATTAAAATATTTAAAATTATATTCTTAAAATAGGAAAAAAACAAAACCAAACATTTGAAATAAATATTTTTGACTGAAATATGTAAAATAAGAAAAAACTTGTTACTAACCGAATGAAATGTTTCTACAACATTTACATAACAAGGCAAATTTTTAAAATGTTTTTTTAATAGATAAAAAATTCCACTTTCGATCATTATAGCATCATTTATAGCCATCAATCCAATGTTTTCCTAATTAAAAAAAATAACAAAACATTAATTGAATACTATAAAATTTATGCTGAATGAAAGTTATACTCAAAATATCTATTTTGAGTATAACTTAAAAATTTAACTAATATTTATAATTCTTAAAACTGAAATAATGATAAGTATTCTGGTAGTTTGAATAATTTAGATGTGGATCTGCAACTGCAGTGACTCCAGAAAATGTGGTTCATGTTGAGAAAATGTTTAGAGAATATCTCCAAATAACCCATAAGGATATCAAGCACACCTTGGGTATTAAATCAGCAGCAGTGAATGGTATCTTGCACTATCATCTTTACATGTATGACCATGAAAGCAAGAGACAGTCCACAGTTTGTGTCTTCTCCAACAAAGCACCATCTGTTGGACTTTAGGAAGACAGTTAATGCTGAGTGGTATGTCACCATTTGTCTTCCTAAAGTCTTTCAAGAAATGTCCCTACACAAATACCCTAAAACATGTCTTTGTGTACTCTTGCTGCACCATGACAATGCAATGGCACATACAGTAATGAGAATGGTAGACTACTTGAGCAGTTCTGGGGTGTAGTTGGTCATCCATTTACCTTATAGTCCAGATTTAGCACCCTATGACTTCTGTTTCCCAAATCCAAGGAAGTCCTCAAGGGATGTCATTTTAGGAGTCCAGAAAACACAGTTGCTGTATACAGAGACACCTTAACAGACATCGCAGAAGACTGGTGTCAAGGCTTCCAAAGCTGCTTCTGTTGCATTGATGGTGTGTTGAGCATCAGCATGAGTACTTTGATAAGATATGAGGACAGAACAACAAACAGGGTCATTGAATCTGGAAACTTTCAGAGTGACNTCTTGTGCCCACTTTCTACCTTGGCTATATCTCTTACTTGGTTTCTACGATGAGCACAGTTCTTGATACTCCTCTTTTTAGGCTCCATAATATTATCAGTTTCTTTTTTAAATAAAAAGTTCAGAAAAGCACTTACAAAAATTCAGAGAACAGAAATCAACTAGCCCACAAAAAGTTATTTAAATACAAGGCCTGGATACAATTTGAAATTTGGTATTAAAATGTTAACGAATATCCAATGGGACAGTTAAACTTTCACCTTTCGTAAATAAACCCCGATGCAAAACTTAACAAGTGCCCATCCGACAGTCTTGCGAAGACTATAAAAAATTATTTGTCAGAAAGGTAAACAAAAGCTGGAATTACAAGGGAGAGTTTCAAAATTCGGAGGAATATCATCTGATTGGTATTGGGTTGACGTCTCCTGCGCTCCAAAAGGTTTAGAATTGTTACCTGAAGATAAGGGAAATCAATCAGTATTTGTTACTTTCCGTCGCTTCATTTTATGTTTGTTCAGTAAAGTATTCGTTATCCAAACATGTGTTTGTTGTCCGATCATAAAAATCTTTTGCAAAAGTGTTTGGATAGCGAAAAAATCAGATAACAAACTGTTCGTTAACCGATCATCCACTGTATTTTATTATTTCTTAGTTATCTATAAGTAAACACTAACAAAAAACTAACAAAAATTAACTTGAAAAAATTTGTTACATGAGTTTCTTGGTTATGATTCATTGTTTCTTGTTAAACAATATTTTTGATGAAGTCACCTGTCTCAAAAGCATCTTACGTATTTTATGAATGATGTAATTTGCAGAAAGTCCCTTAAAAGGTCAAAACTTTTCTGACTTCCCTACATATAGGAAGAGCAGAGTATTTCCTTGACAAGATTTTTTTCTTCTTCATCTTCATCGCTTGTTTCTTGTGCTTAGTTCTTTACATCAAAAAAATGTTCACAGATAGCTATGTCATTTCAATGTTGACAAAATCTTCAAATGACACTTCATCACTCATTGCTGTAATGAGATTGACCCTAGTCCTTTTTGATATAGTTGAAATACGAATAAAATCCCAATTTATTCAGTGTCAACAAATTCTTAATTGAAACCTGATTTTGTAAAGAAATATGTAGTAGTGCATTATGAAACTTTATTTCCAACTTTGTTAATCGTCTGCATTTCATTTAGCAGAGTCATTCCAAAATCATGTAATCCATCCATGGGCATAAATCATGCAGACCCTACAATGTTTGGGGTCCACAACTAGAAAAAATGTCCCAACTGTTGCTCAAATTATTTAGCTTCTTCTCTAAGAAGTTTCCATCCACAGGAATATTCTCAAAAGATATTGAAAAACTGGATGAGATTATAATAAAAGCATATACTAATGCCTGTAATCCATTTAAAAGAATTAAAGGAAAACACAAATGACTAGAAATCACTGGAAACTCCACAAGAAGAAAAAAAAAGAAATTTATTAAGTTTCAAAATAATCTTTGTTTTTAAAAACTTTCATAAACTTAAATTTTAATAAACTTTGATAAAATATACCAAAATAACTTTTCTTTGCATTTGTTTCAAACTGAAATAATACAGATTCTCAATAACTCAAAGTAGAAGGGACAGAAAAAAAATTTTCTGAGTTACAGAAACTACAATTATTTTAACAAAATCATAAATATCACAATACAAACAATTTAATTAGATTTAAATGCAATATACAGTGGGTGATAGGTTAACGAACATAATCCATTCCAAGACTTTGTTCGTTATCCTAATTGCTCGTTAACCAATTATTGATTTACTATAGGTTTTTATACGAATTTGATTAATTTGTTCTGGAGATTCCAAAACAAAAAATATATACTTTTTTACTACATTTATTTATATATAATAGTAAAAATACATATATATGCAGTCTTGCATTTTTATTAGTCATATTTTTTCCATTTGTGGGGATTAAAGAATCTGTCCAATGTCAATTGCTTTTCTCTTTTCTTCAGGATGTTTCGGAAGTAATTAATAGTATTGTAATTGTAGAGATCCCCAACTCCGNCTGTCCAATGTCAATTGCTTTTCTCTTTTCTTCAGGATGTTTCGGAAGTAATTAATAGTATTGTAATTGTAGAGATCCCCAACTCCATTAACCTTATTCTGGTTTGGATGCCACTTGGATGATCATTGTTCTTACATCCTCCCACTTCTTCAAAAGATCTTTAGTAGCAGATGTCAACATGGTCCTCTTTCGTCTTCCTCTTTTTCAAAAGAAAAAACATCTCACTGAGTTTCTTGGTGTTGTTCATTTGAGAGTTCTTGGAGTTCTTCTGTCGTCAGATCAGTTTCAGATTCCATTATTAGCTCTAAAATGCTCTTTATTTCTCAGATGTGATTTTCATTATTCCATTAGCAGCTTGAGACTTCTTGATATATCTTTCATAGCTAAGATTGTGCCTACTGTAGATTTGTTCAAGCCATACTGCCTAACAACATCAGACATCTTGTGCCCACTTTCTACCTTGGCTATATCTCTTACTTGGTTTCTACGATGAGCACAGTTCTTGATACTCCTCTTTTTAGGCTCCATAATATTATCAGTTTCTTTTTTAAATAAAAAGTTCAGAAAAGCACTTACAAAAATTCAGAGAACAGAAATCAACTAGCCCACAAAAAGTTATTTAAATACAAGGCCTGGATACAATTTGAAATTTGGTATTAAAATGTTAACGAATATCCAATGGGACAGTTAAACTTTCACCTTTCGTAAATAAACCCCGATGCAAAACTTAACAAGTGCCCATCCGACAGTCTTGCGAAGACTATAAAAAATTATTTGTCAGAAAGGTAAACAAAAGCTGGAATTACAAGGGAGAGTTTCAAAATTCGGAGGAATATCATCTGATTGGTATTGGGTTGACGTCTCCTGCGCTCCAAAAGGTTTAGAATTGTTACCTGAAGATAAGGGAAATCAATCAGTATTTGTTACTTTCCGTCGCTTCATTTTATGTTTGTTCAGTAAAGTATTCGTTATCCAAACATGTGTTTGTTGTCCGATCATAAAAATCTTTTGCAAAAGTGTTTGGATAGCGAAAAAATCAGATAACAAACTGTTCGTTAACCGATCATCCACTGTATTTTATTATTTCTTAGTTATCTATAAGTAAACACTAACAAAAAACTAACAAAAATTAACTTGAAAAAATTTGTTACATGAGTTTCTTGGTTATGATTCATTGTTTCTTGTTAAACAATATTTTTGATGAAGTCACCTGTCTCAAAAGCATCTTACGTATTTTATGAATGATGTAATTTGCAGAAAGTCCCTTAAAAGGTCAAAACTTTTCTGACTTCCCTACATATAGGAAGAGCAGAGTATTTCCTTGACAAGATTTTTTTCTTCTTCATCTTCATCGCTTGTTTCTTGTGCTTAGTTCTTTACATCAAAAAAATGTTCACAGATAGCTATGTCATTTCAATGTTGACAAAATCTTCAAATGACACTTCATCACTCATTGCTGTAATGAGATTGACCCTAGTCCTTTTTGATATAGTTGAAATACGAATAAAATCCCAATTTATTCAGTGTCAACAAATTCTTAATTGAAACCTGATTTTGTAAAGAAATATGTAGTAGTGCATTATGAAACTTTATTTCCAACTTTGTTAATCGTCTGCATTTCATTTAGCAGAGTCATTCCAAAATCATGTAATCCATCCATGGGCATAAATCATGCAGACCCTGCAATGTTTGGGGTCCACAACTAGAAAAAATGTCCCAACTGTTGCTCAAATTATTTAGCTTCTTCTCTAAGAAGTTTCCATCCACAGGAATATTCTCAAAAGATATTGAAAAACTGGATGAGATTATAATAAAAGCATATACTAATGCCTGTAATCCA